TTTTTTTTTTTAAATTTATAGACTTGGTCTATATATTAAAATTTTTTAATTTAATGATTATATTGTTGAAATTCAACATACATCATGAGTTATTGAATGAAATAACTTTTTTAAGAATTATTCTTGAAATTCATTAATTTAAAAATTAAGTATTATCTTTAAGATAAACTCCTTTGGAAATTAGGGATCAAAATCCTTTGTCTCCAACTCCTGTTCCCAAATCCTGTCCCTCCAATCACAAAACGCCATCACATCATTATTTTTAATTTTAATTTTGATCTTTAAAAAGTGTAACTGTTACAAGTTTTTCTTCTTCTTTGATTTCTAACTTTTTTGTACTAGATCAAACTCTATCCCATCGCACTGTTCTTCGTCTTATTCCCTCCTCTTTTATGGTCAATAATATTTTATGCAGCTACTAAAAAGTAATCTTGGCGCAGCGAGTTAACATGTAAAATCTAGGATTCCCCTATAGTGGTGGAAACCTTACCAACTGTGTGAAGGAGGTGAGGCGAGTAAAAAAAAATCAACAAGTGTGAAAAATCGTAATAGTTACACTTTTTAAAAATCAAAATTAAAATTAAAAATAATGATGTGATGACGTTTTGTGATTGGAGAGACAGGATTTGGGAATAGGAGTTGGAGACAGAGCATTTTGATCCTGAAATTAGTACCATATCAATCATTCACTGAGCAGAAAAAAGAATTTAATTATTAAGCTCTATCACTGTAAATTTTTTACATTATTAATCGATCAAAAATCATTGTGAATATGATTTTTAATATAATTATGATAAAAGTTAACAAATTTATTATTGATTAAATGGTGATGTAAAATATTACAGTAAGCACACACTATTTGCACTCATAATAAATAAGGTTTCAATTTTCAAAGTTCATAAAAGAAAAAATAACAACTTATAAAACACATTCATACTTCAATGATAGAGAGACCTTTTGATAATGATCAAAAGCAAAATCATGAGAGTTTAGACTCAAAACGGACAATATTTCATCATTGTGGAGTTGTGTGTGTAATAACCTTATAAAAATAACCCTCATAAAATATCCTCTCAAATAAATACCATAAAATAACCCCATCAAGAGTGTGGATGCTTTTGAGTATATCAAGATTGGTGAGAAGGTGTTTGAGGTTTTGAATAATTTTGTTGAGGAAATTGGAGAAAAAAGTGTTATTCAAGTAGTGACAGATAATGGAAGTAATTATGTTATGACAAGTAAGAATCAATTATCATTGTTCCTCAATGAAGTTTTTAATTTTATACTCATAATATGAGTTATAACAATTCTAATTATTTTGTTATTGATCTTTTTAGGCAAAACTTTACAAACTGTGAGACCATAATTATTTTGGATTCCATGTGTTGCTCATTGCCTTAACTTGATGCTAGAAGATATTGGAAAGATCCCTAAAGTTAAAAGGGTAATACAAAGAGGTATCAAACTCGTGGGTTACATTTACAATCCTTTCTTGACCTTGAACATCATAAGGAAGTATACAAACAAGGTTGAATTGGTGAGGCATGAAGTTACAAGATTTGTTACCACTTTTCTCATTATGCAATGATTACATAAGTAAAAGGTCAATCTTAGAAGAATGTTTACTTCCGATGAATGATTGCAATCAAAGGGAGGCAAAGAAGCTAAGGGAAAGAAAATAACGAATGTTGTTCTTGTAATACCTTGTTTTCTAAAATAATATTATTATTATATACTTATATTTTGGTCAAAATGTTTTGTTATTATAAGAAGAAAAGTATTTTATATTATTTATTGATTTATTTATTTATTTTGGGAAAAGAGAATCGGGTTGAGAAGAGAAGCAAGTTGGGTTGATCCGGCCTAAGGGAATTTTAAGAAAGGGGTCAGACAGAGTTAACCTTATCTGCCTCATTTTGCATTCTGAAGGGTTAGGAGAGAAAAAGAAGAGAAAAAGAGAGTTCTAAGGAGGAGTGCTCAAGATCAAATCCTGAATGACAACGAAACTGTTTCGATTAACGTAATAAGGTACGGGGAGGAAAATGAGTGATTCATATGTGGGATTACAAGAGAGAATGGGTAGTGGGAGAAATTCCTAAATTTCTAAGATTTTTCTATTTCTTTTCTGAAGCAAAAATTGACGATTTAATTAGGTTTTATATTGATCTATATATGTTGTTATTATATTGTTTGGTAAAATTGATGATCAAGATGAGAATTGAATTTATTGGGATGTGCTTTGTAAGTTAGGGTTCTTGTAGATTGATGAACACCCTTAACTATATGAATTAATGAGTAATTCAAAGATTTTACTTATGGATGTACCTTAGTATTATTGTAATATCTTTCTTTGTGATTAACCAAATCAATTTTTGTTTGTTGGGTTAGAAAGTAGACACTTAATACTATAATTTAGACCCTAGAATCGTGTAAAAGTGTTAAGAATTTATCGAGTTATGTGAGTTATAAGTTCAGTTTCCATTCTAGTGCATGAAATATTAAGTTTTAGGTTGTCAGCCACTCAAAAAAGATGTGTATAACTCTAGTTATGGTCAAAATAGTGGGTAGAAGTCAAGTTGTTAGGATTTATGATGCCTGTCACGATTATTCTATTTTAGTTTGCATTTTTGATGTTTTGGGACCCCTTTTTGGCATTTTATTGATACTTTATGATTTCTTAGTGATGTTTTATAATACTTATGATATGATTGAACAAGTTTGATGTGGGATTGTGAAATATGATATTATATTGATAGATTTTGATGATGGTTGTGAATATTTTATGATGTTGAGTAATGACTATTGTATGAATAGATATAAATGGTGTGTATTTGGATGAGTATATTTGAGTATGAATGGTTTGTATTTGGATGAGTGATGTATAAATGTGGTTGTATGTGAATTACTTAATAATTGTGCATTAGCATGAATGAAGATGAGGAATGAGTTTCGTGGCATTAGCATGAGCATATGCATTACCCTAGCCTATGTGGTGATTAATAGGGAATGCATTACCTGACCTGTGTTGTGATTAACGAGGAATGCATGATA